GTATGTATGTATGTATGTATGTATGTATGTATGTATGTATGTATGTATGTATGTGTATATATATATATATATATATATATATATATATATATATATAATGAACTCTCATGAAACTGCAGCATGGGTATAGGTTCATTCTTGTATTGCTATTGGTTTGGCCTGTATAGTGGTCATTCTCAGGTCTGCTACTTTAAGAACTCTTTTTGTGCAGTGCAAAGTGTACTTAGTGGAAGATGTGCTCATGAGTTTCCTGCTTGGCATCTTGAAAGGGGGAGGAGCCGTAGAAGCACATCCTCTTATTCAGCAGTTACTGGATCTTATGTGGCTTCTCATGGAGGTGAGTTTCATTAAGTCTTTTTACTTCTAGTAATTCTGGGCTGCTTCTGTTCTCCATTAGGGCTACCTAGTGTAAATGTCTTCTATTTGTCTTCTTCAGGATTATGAAGTTCATGAATGCCTCAAGCAGCTGTTAATGTCCCTGCTCAGAGCATATCGCTTTTCTCCCATAGTTCCTGATCTTGGCTTACAGGTGAGTGATACTATCTTGTGACATACCAGAAAAAAATCTTAATACCAAAAAACAATGTGAGAGGCAGATTTTTCTTCCTGATTACAAACTTTTATGAGTTGTAAATCTCAACTCGGTGCCTACCAAATGTGATGGATGTCATCTCACTGCTATGACTAGCCATGTTACCTAGCGATTATAGCAATTGATACAACTTGCATCCGGCATCAGTTTGTAGAAGAATGTTCTAAATCATGGGTGTCAAACTCACGTTGTTACATTGCCATCACGTTACGCTGCACCACGTTTTTATCATTCACAGAGCTGGAGTGGGTGTGTCCTATGCGTGACACATCTGGCCCATCGGTTGACACCCCTGTTCTAAACCATTTAAGAATTCTATGTTACAGGTAGTCCTCAACTTATGACCATAATTAGGACTGGAATTTCTGTTGCAAGTCCTTGTGGTCATATATTGGGCCTCATTTTATGACAATTTTTACAGTTGTTAAATGTTAATCACATGCAATTGTTAAGCGAATCCAGCTGCCCGGTGGTGTATTTTTTGCTGGAAAGAGGCAAAAAAGGTCACAAATCACATGCACATGATTTGCACACTGCAACTGGTCATAAAGGCAGACAGGTGCCAAGCCCCCAAATTCCAATCATGTGACCACAGCGGTGGTGCGATGGTTATAAGTGTAAGTGCAGGTTACAAGTCTCTTTTTTTCCAGAATGTTATAACTTTGAACTGTCATTATAGTCATAAATCAAGGATTACCTGCGTTGGTCTCTATAAATTGATTGTCCTTTTTCCTCTTTTTTCTGCCCAGATCCATTATCTTCGCCTTACTATTGCTATCCTAAAACATGAGAAATCCAGGAAATATTTGCTCAATAATGTCTTGTATCCTTTCTTTATATGTATATGTTGTTCATAGTTGCTTAGATTTCTCAGTGATACTTATTCACTGACATTATCTGATTATTTCAAATATAGGCAATATAAAATGTTTTGTAAAAGCTCTCTTTCAAATAATTATTAATTAACTGTTGATTGAGGCCATGCATTAATTCAGATTCAGAAATGTGTGTTCAGTGTATTGAGAGCCAAATACAGAACTTGTCTCCATCTCACTAAGTCTGCATACCTGTTTTCAGGATTATGTCACAATCCTGGAAACATATGCGACTGCTTTAATTGAGCCATAGACAGCCGCTGCATTTGTGCTTCTGCTGAATCAAGCAAATTCTAAAGCATTTCTGCTGAATCAAGCATTCAGCACTTTGTCATTGGCTACTTATTTGTAAATGTATTTCAATTAGCATTCTTTGATGTTTGTGATATAAATATTGAGACAGAGTATGGAGTATGGAGCATGAGGAAATGGCAAGTTTCTAGTTAAAGAATGCCTAAGCAATTGAAAGTTTGATAATGGCTTCTCCTTTATTACCCTTATTTGTTTCTCTTCACTTTTGAGGAATAATACAGCAAGAGGAAATCCTTGGAGAACATTTATCCCTTTTTAATCTTAAAATTTCCATAAGTAGGTATAACGTAAATTAGATTATTTTACTTTATCATAGTGCTGTCTCCCCACCTTATCTTAGTACTAAATCACTATCATATGTTAAACTGTTTACTGACTGATTGACCACATAGGTCAGGGGTGTCAAACTTG